TGGAAGAATATATATGTAACAATGTAAAACATTGTGAAGAGCGCGCAGAAAGCTTGCGTAAGGCCAGTCTCTTCTTATTATGAATATGCACATTTGTTTACAAACAAGAGAAAAGTCCTGTCACGTGATATGCAAATTAGCCTGTGGCATTGATGTTATGCTAAGTCATCACTGCGCCGGAGTGAGGATCCGCCAACAGGGGCTTGTATGGCTGAAAATAATACGTTCTGGGTCCTACAAGCATACACTGATATCCATATACATATAAAGAAGGTAAAGTACCAAGTGCCTTCAAACATGCCCTTGTGCCACCAATTCTGAAGAAATCAATACTTGATCCATAGGACTTGAAGAGCTTTAGGCCGGTATGTAATCTGTCATTTTTATCAAAGTGTCTGGAAAGAATTGTTGCTAAGAGGCTCCTTGATCATCTTCACGCTAACAATCTCTTGGAAATTTATCAGCATATAAATCTAAACACTGCACAGAGACAGCTCTTGTGTACATTCACAACGATATCATGACTGCAATAGACCATCAGCAAGTTACTCTTCTTATTCTCCTGGACTTATCAGTGGCTTTCGATACCATCGATCACTGTTTCCTCTCCAGGCGGCTAGAGACCAGCGTTGGACTCACAGGAACGGCACTGCAGTGGGTAAAATCGTATCTTTCTTCTCGGACAGAGTCAGTAAAGATCAGTGACAAAATCTCAATACCATCATTGGTTCGCTATGGAGTGCCACAGGGTTCTGTTCTGGGACCCCTTCTCTTTAGCTTGTACATTCTACCAATTGGAGACATCGTGAGAAATCATTCCCTAAAATTCCATCTCTACTCTGACGATAATCAGTTGTATATTTCCATCAAACCATCAGAAGTTTCACAACGAGTTCATAAGATCGAACGCTGCATAATGGATATCCAGGAATGGATGGCTGTCAACTATTTGAAGTTGAACGACAGCAAGACTGAGTTCCTTGCCATAGGCTCACGGCAACAGCTGCAGAAGATGCCACCTGGAATCGCACTCAAGATAGGAACTGAGGATGTGAAGACCTCAAATCTGGGAATCATCTTCCAGTCCAAAATGTCCCTAGATGAATATGTCAAGTCCCTCTGCAAATCATGTTTTTTTCACATCTACAACATCGGCAAGATCCGCAACTTCCTAGACACTGAGACAAACAAAGCTCCTAATGCAAACACTTGTAATCTCAAAGTTGGACTATTGTAACTCACTCCTTTGCAACACAGCATTTTCAACACTTTCTAAATTGCAGAAAATTCAAAACGCAGCAGCTCGTGTTGTCTCTCGAACTCATCGCCATGACCATATATAGCCAGTTCTGAAATTCCTTCACTGGCTTCCAGTAAAGTACAGGATATACTTCAAGATTCTGCTACTGAGTCATAACTGCCTCTACGATGACCACTCCTGTGACTACCTTCGCCAGCTTGTACATCTGCATGTACCCACCAGAGCTCTTAGATCAATAGATACGTTAAGACTAACACAGCCAAGCACTAAAACATCCATGGGTGATAGAGCCTTTTCTGTAGCAGCACCAGCTCTATGGAACAATCTTCCAGTCACCCTCAGACGAACTGAGTCCCATTCACTATTCAAGAACTTGCTCAAAACCTACTTCTTCCAGATGGCTTCTGAACAGAACTCTTTTCACACTTATTGTGTTTTTAACGATGTATGCAGCGCCGTTGAGCATCTATGATGGAAACTAGGCACTATACAAGCCAATTATTATTATTATTTTAACCAACATGACGGCAGTGTTCTTTCAAATGAATTCTATGGAACAGACCCATATACAGCCTAAGACACATCCAAGCCAACAAACCGGATCTTGTCCTTTTTGACAAAACCAATGGAATTATACGTATCATTGAATTTTAGGTCCTTTTTGACAGCAATATGTGATTGACAAGAGGCAGGAAAAACATGGCAAATATGCGAACCTCGCCTGCTCTGGGTAATGCAGAAGGCTGCATTGATGTCAAACAGTTTGAGAATGATATTGCCGAAACCGGTCTTCTTGAACAATTTAATGAGGATGAAAAATTCAGCGCAAGAAAGGTTTACGCTAATCTTGTTTCTGTGGACGACAAGTTAAAATTCATAGCAACTGTGAGTGAGTGAGTGAGTTTAGTTTTACGCCGCACTCAGCAATGTTCCAGCTATATGGCGGCAGTATGGAAATAATCGAGTCTGGACCAGACAATCCAGTGATCAAAAGCATGAGCGTCGATCTGCGCAATTGGGAACCGATGACATGTGTCAACCAAGCCAGCGAGCCTGACCATCTGATCCCATTAGTCGTCTCTTATGACAAGCATGGGTAACTGAAGGCTCATTCTAACTCGGACCTTCACGGGTATTCATAACAACAGTCCCTGTCAGATACTGAATGAACATGGTTCTTTCTGGACGGGAAAACATGTATCCCGAGTTGTGCCCAGTTGGATGCAGTGATTAAAGCAAAACTTGAACGGCGAGCAGCAGAAAGAAAATGTCGTCAGACTAAGCTTGAAGCTTTCACACAGATATATTGAGCATCAAGAATCAAACTGATTACCATTATTCGTCAGGAAAAGCTCCAGAAAGACAGTGATGCACGGCTAAAAGAATTCAAGACAATTGACTGCCATCACAAAGAAACTAAGAAGTCCCAACTTGATGGAACGGTATAGGACTGATTCAAAGACTATGACAAACTCATTTGCATCCTTTTTGATACAAAGAAGTGGAAAATATGAGAAATAACGTTATCACTGAATCGGAGAATGATTTAATGGAAATTGATATTCAATTTTCAAGGTAACCTCAGCTATTATTCCAAGCTACTTGGTCCATGGAGATGAAATCAATAATTGATGCCGGGCGCAGCAAACCGTGTTGCATGGATCTTATTCCTGCTTTGATTTTGACAGGATGCGTAGAAACCAGTCCTACAGTCTCATATTTGTTGGACTCCTCATGGGTGGAATAATCCCAGCCTTCTTAACTCCACTTCTAAAGAAGATATCGTTAGACACAAGTGTGCTCAAGAACAATCGTCCTGTGTCTAACTTGCCTTCACTGTCTGGGAGTAATCTTTGAGAAGCCAATGCCATCAGAGGAACACAGTTCTGCAGTCTGTATCATTACCATAACTAAATCCATACAGCACACCACACCAATACTATGGTGCTTTTCAGGTTGGAAGTCATGTGCAATAGAACTTAATTATTATAATTAATTATGGTTCCTTTCTTTCGAATAAATGCATGTTAATGAATGTTCATTAAAATACATAGCAAAAAGTGTCAGACATCTCTCTCATGCATATTCATACCACTTTGTATATTCATAACACTTTGTTTAACCGAAATTGACATGATTAAGGTATAAAGACATTGTCATCCATAAAATCCATGATAATGTAACAATAAACAATCTGCACTGATGTGAGCGTGGTAGCAGTGGGGCATTAAAGGCTCCAGATGATGTAAACAGATTGAGGATGTTGTTCAAAATGTCAACCAATGATTAGCTCAGCTGAGCTTGCGTTACCGGATAGTTCTTGTCGTAAGCCTCGTTCCCTCTCATCGGAAACATTTTCTATTCTGGAGAAACAGATGGCCGGCAGTAGTGGCCTCAAAGGGGTGAAGGTGCCTAGCATGTATCGACACACTCGCTACTGACCGTGTGAACTTGCTTCTGAACCGGTGTGCGAAATAGTCACTTGCCCGCTAACCCGTTTCTAGTAAAAATCCAGTCGGACCAGTAAATCTCCACGGTCACTGGCCCGACTGGTTAGTTAATTTTCATAGGGTCATTTTGTAAATATATCACTCTCTCCGACTTGTTAAGTTATAATACACTTTTAAATCATGCAAGATTATGGCTTGATATTAGCAGCTGAATGATGAAAACCGTGTCTATATACAAATTCGGGCCAGTGAATTATTTTGTGGGCTAGTAACTTTCAGGCATATCTAGCCCGACAGGCAAGCAAAACTTGTAAGCTATTTCGCACACTGTTCTGAACCATACCTTAAGTGAGTGAGTTTGGTTTTACGCCGCCTACAGTAATATTCCACCAATATCAGGGCAGGGGACACCAGGAATGGGATTCACACTTGTATCCATGTAAGGAATCGAACCCGGGTCTTCAGCGTGACGAACTTTAACCACCACGCTACCCACCACACCGATCCATACCTTGAAACATGTCTTTTCATGTAATAGCCTTTTGTTCGAGGTAGAACAAAATTAACACTGATACTCTGTGGTGTTGGCAAGCCACAACAACCCTTTGCTTTCGAGTACATAATATTCAAAATTTGATTTGATGAATGTGTAAACTGCTGTGGCAGTGGCACTGGTGGTGGACTGTGTAAATCCAGGAAGCTTATAACATTTTACCATTCCCCATCCTCGATAATCTCCAGATAATACCCTGGATGCATCTACGGCTCGGCCCGATGATTTTACTGCCTCTCTTGGTTGGTTCCGCATTCTCACAGTAGCCAGTCAGATAAACCGCCATTACAACCGGGCTTGCCAGTGTCAACAAAGATAGCGGTTGCAACCGCGAAAGTTTGTTCGCAGTTCGACTCAGATTTGGGGGAAAAACATACAGACAAACTGACAGGTCTGAAACCTTAAAAAATATATGCAAGAACTTCTTCTACCTCTTTTAGAGTACCTCTGCAACAATATATTATTGTGTTGCCAAGTTTAATTGGTTAGATAATTTAAAAAGCCTAAGTGAGTTGTGATTGGTACGCTCAACTAACCAGCATAGACACCTGATTGGATAAAAAGCCAACCAAGAGAGGTAATAAAATCATCGGGCCAAGCCGTAGATGCATCCAGGGTATAGTGGAGAGTTATCGGAACGTATACCCAGGAGATTATCGAGGATGACCATTCCCAAGAACATCAGTTACCTGTGGTATGTATATGTTACAGTGGATGTTCTCCTTTTATCTATCAGGGATGGACCTAGTGAAGGTGAGCATCGCCGTGGTGCTGCCTCTGGTGGTGTACTGTGTGTGTGAACCCGGGTTTCAGGCCTGTGAGTGGGAGTCTTGGAGTGTGTGGAGCTCCTGTACCAGAACATGTGGTGGGCTGAGAACCCGAACACAGAAGATGTGCTGTGGAGTTCATGTTCCAGACTGTATCGGTAAATGCCACCGACCCAACACGTCTGTGGAGACACAGCCATGTGCGACACACTGCCCCAATGGTGGAAGCTACATTGATGGATATTGTCACTGCCCTCCTCTTAGATATGGAATTTGTTGTGAACGAGGTGAGAGTTATAGGTTGATAATCAGCTGTTCGATTTAACGTGGAGTCAAGTTCTCAAGTCACCAAGCCCTGTTTGTTACTAACATGGATTTTTAATGAATGATTTGCAGCATTGCATTTATCTTGTGTACCAGTCAGCATCTGTTTGTTTTAGATGTAATGTCTATGATGTATAATTTATATGACAAATACATTTATCTATATTACGTCTGTGTGTGTCAGCTCCACACGTGTTTGTTTATCCTGTTCACACTACACAAAGCGACAGTGAAATATTATTGGAAACACATAACATAAAGTGCTTTAATGCAAATAATCTGAATAGCTATTATCTTGAAAATGTATGCAGTATCTAATGCAATGTACTAATGCAAACCCAAGCTAGAAGAATGGTTAGTTGAGCTAAAAAAAAATGAAGATCAGATAAACACCAATGTAGTAGCTACAAGGTTACCCTAACAAACATCCTATTCATGTTTACCAGACGAGTCGACTGCGCGTGATGGTAGCTGTGCCCGACACTGCACGTGGATGAACTGGTTCTCATGGGGAAACTGCAGCACAAACTGTGGATGTGCAACACGAACCAGGACAAGATGGCGCTGTTGTCAAAGCAGGTTGAGCAGTACTGAGTGTACAGCTGATTGCAACTTCCGGGACAAGAGCACTGAAGAGAGAGTCTGCACTAAACACTGCACCCTGAATGGTAAGGGGTGGGGTCATAGACTGAAACAGTTATACTGTATGTGTCACATAATATCCTAAGCGTTTGTCATATACAAGTCGAATTATTGATTTATTGAGACCTTAATGTTAACAATAATACAAAGAGGTTGTTTATTCATATATTGTTATCCTTTCTTACTGCTCCAACTTCTAAATGTCTCTCAAACAAGCTAATACAAAGACCACCAGGCATTGAAAGTTAAGGCCATGCTGTCAGTGTGTTGTAAGTGAGAACTGTCATATGTATATATACACGGTCACGATCTAAATGAACATTTGGTTGAAACCTTCCAGAAGGCCACACTATGAAGAAATATGTAGTAGACAGAGCGAGAGACATGGTATGGCAGTCATCAAATGGTTACCACAGTCAACCGCGTTCCTGCTACAATTAACCATTTCGCGTCAATTTGTACAATTTGCTTACAGTTTATCCCTTCTGTATCTAATATGCGAGGTCCCATGCTTATCGTAAGAGTCGACTAACGGATCGAACTCGCTGACTTGGTTGACTCGACAACAATGACATTACGATAGTATGGGAATATTGACAAACGTAATGAGTGCATTAAATGAAACGACAAAACCCGTTCCACATCCATAAGAAATCTCGACTATAAAATTGTGACTATGTTATGAGCATATACTTGTTTCAGCAGTATTACAGCTGTATGACGTTGTTGTAAACCAATAACAAATGAAACATATCAATTCCAAGAATATATATCTTCACGTAGACCAGAGTCAGACTTGCCAACTTTGTTCCTGGAACAACTGGCAACCATGGAGCAGTTGCAGCCAGACGTGTGGAGGAGGTCAAAGGTCAAGGTCACGGTCACCTTGTTGCTGTGAAGGCCAATCCAATAAGGACTGTCTGTTTGACTGCCAGTTGTCGGAAAACGACTCAGTTCAATCCGAGAACTGCAGTGAAATTTGTTTCAACAACGGGAGCTTCTCAAGCAGCATCTGCCACTGTGGACATGGCTATTCTGGACCTTGCTGCACTGATGGTAGGGTGCTTCTTTATCTGTTGATTGCTGAGTATGACTCAAACACCTGATCATACTAGATGTGTACATGTGAAGCTCCGGGTTAGAATGAACCTTCAGTAACCCATGCTTGTCGTTAGAGGCGACTGTCGGGATCGGATGGTCAGGGATGCTGACATGGTTGACACATGTCATCGGTTCCCAATTGTTCAGATCGATGCTCATACTGTTGATCACTGAATTGTCCGGTCCAGATTCGATTATTGACGGACCGTCGCCATATATCTCGAATATTGCTGAGTGCGGCGTAAAACTAATCTCACTCACTCTTAGATGTGTACGTAGTACACAAATGGTTGTCATTGATATAGAATGAACTCCGACTGTGTCCTAAACCACACAAGGGCAAGGAACAGCCAGAATACACTTCTTTCATAATGCTCATGTGGAAGGTCTTCTTCGCCTCGAGGGCTATGAATAGAATTCGTATCCCTTCATTATGGCTTTTTATTTATAGATTTTTGAATGAAACCTTTCTAATTTCATTTCAGCGGTAACTGATGGCAAGTGTACAAAATGCACCTGGGGGATGTGGGGACGGTGGGGACCTTGCAATGACTCCAAAAACGGGGAGGTAACGAGAAGGAGATCCCTCTGCTGTCGTGTGGGACAGAAGGAGAACGAGTGTTACGCCCAGTGTAAGCGAGAGGGACATGGAACTGTCGACGTGAAACAATGTGACCTGTTTATAGTGAAAGGTAGGTCAACTGTGAAAGAGTTTAATATAATAACGATGAATGCCGTCACTCTTATCATGGTCGTGTAAGATGGTATACGGGGTGGTGGGGTAGCCTAATGGTTAAAGCGTCCGCTTGTCACTATGAAGACCAGGGTACAATTCCCCACATAGATACAATGCGTGAAGCCCATTTCACATTTCCCTTGCCGTTTTATTGCTGGAATATTGCTAAAAGCGGCATAAAACCATACTCACTCACTCAGATGGCACAACTGTAGTGTCGGACACAGTGTTAGTATATACCCTATATGTTCCGTACTACCATTCAACATCATAGATCATCTGAAGTTCCTGAAAGGCATTTTAATGTTGGACGAACACTGTATCCTTCAGGATGTAGTGGCATATTATTTAATGCGATGTATATATTGGTTAACATTTTCAGATTCAACCCAAATTCACTTTATGTACACCATCATCGCCTCTGTCGCATCCGTTGTCTTCACGTCGCTTGTCTGGTAGGTATGATTCTGAAATGTGTACCTTTCCGAGTGAGTGAGTGAGTGAGTGAAAAGTATATGTCCATTGTACGATTCCGACTATGTTCCGACACTACTGTCATGTGTGTGAGTGAGGGAGGGACAGAGGGAGAGAGAGAAGGGGGACGGGTCAAGGAGGGAGTGGGCTCCACACATTGTTCCCATGTACCGAGCTGACTTAATATTATTCAATTCGAATATGTACTTAATGAATCTAAAAATGCAAAAAAATTCAAAAGATCCCACGGGCATAAGAAATGTGTATGTCTATTGTACGATTTTGACTAAATCGTAATCGTAAGCCTTGTTTATTGAAGGATATACATAAAGTCAGCTGCGCCAGACGCTGTAGTTAACGCAAAACCTCACAACTGATTTCAATCCCGACAAAGCCTCCAAGTCTACAGATACAGATACAGATACAGAGCGTCCTACTGACGAAAAGACAACACAAGGCAATATCTCAATGTAAAGTAAAATATAAGAGATGCTTCTTTAGATAATACGAATATTCTTTTTTTAGGACTGCTGCTTATTGCATCAGGAACAGGAAGTGCAGGGGACCACCAGACCAACAGGGGTCATGTGATGTCAACAGTCCTGCAATGGACACCTATATCAGTCTACAAGCTGATCGGAGAGACGTAGCTCGTAACGTCAACCAGAATACATGCTGTGACAGTGATGCATGTGAGCACGTGTATGAAAGACCACAAGACCTGTTTATGTAATGCGCCCATGTTGGTGTCCCCTGCCGTGACATAGCTTGGATGTTGCTTAAGGCGACGTAAATCTCAACTCGCTCACTCACTCACTTTATGTAAAACCGACTATTTTTTCGGTTAAACGTTCGGTTATAACTTGTTAAACATTTATCAATCACAACACGGCTCGGATCAGAATATTGAGGTTTTGAAGGTTTTCGCTGTCGTTGTTCAAATCCCAATTGCGTAGATCGATGCTCATGATGTTGCTCATTTGAATGTCTGGTCCAGATTCGATTATAAACAGACCAACGCCTATAGCTGGACTATTGCTGAGTGTGGCGTTAAACAAGCAACAGACCATTTTCCGTAAGAAATCTCTGCTAAAAGCAGGACGTGTTGTACAATTCCGACAGTGTCTTGAGCCACACGTTGGCATGAGGTAGCCAGAATGAACTTCTGTCATAGCACACATGTGGAAAGTCTTCTTCGCCTCAAGGGTAATGTTGTCTCATTTGCGCAATACAGATTGTGTCAATGTGTTTGTCATGTTTTCGTTTGGGGTAAGATAATAGTACCAAAAGAAGGTTCAGTGGTTAGATATAATTATTGTGGACCTTTCTTGACACTAAACCATGTGGAAGTTCATAGATGATGTTTAGCACTTCAGAATGCTTTTGGACGATAAATATCCATTGTTAGGAACAAACATTGTAATTTTGGGGTATTTGCGAGGTAAGTACTATGAATCGTTTTCAAAGGGAGGCTACTCTAGTCTGTGCAACTTCGTGTGTGTTTAGACTGTCCGGTCAAATTGTTTCGTAAAATGACTACAGAATAAAGACCGCAGCGAAAAGTTTTTTGAGCTGTTTTTACTTCGGAAAATCCTCTACGCCACTGTGGTCTTTGACTGCAAGCAAAAAACAAATGTGAACTGTCTGGCTGTCGTGTCATTACGTTATGGGTGTATTTACAAAAGCGAGACCACAGCGAGGAAAGGCTGAGTGAGTATGGATTTACGCCGCTTTAGCAATATCCAAGCAACATCAAGGCGGTGGACACCAGAAATTGGCTTTACACATTGCGCTCAAGTGGGGAATCGAACTCGGATCTTCCATGTCACGAGCAAACGCTTTAACCTCTATGCTACCCCAACACCCAGGAAGGAAGGGAAAATAGGTTAAACACATTCTTACGCGAAAAGTAAGATCAACTAAACCCTTCAGTCGTAGCATTACATTTAAATCACGAATAATGTTAATACAAAGTTAATCAAAATGAGGTGATTATGATTTGAGTACCATACTATCGTTGAAATATTTTATAATTTTTATCTTTTCAGATTCGTTTCGATATTTCTGTAAATATAGATATAGAGCAACCTTCCTAAATTCTATAAGAATGAAAGTTAATCTTGAGACACATGTGCTGGACTGCAGCAAGTTATCTATCTTCGTTTTATAGATGTCTTTGTTAACTCGATTTACGATTTGTCTTTTGCATTTGTTATGCTTTTAATCTTGCCTACTTGTTATATAAGTAATGAATTGTCTTGTCCTTATCAATGTATACAGCTTGTTCAGCTTGACTTGAGCTACTCTACATATGCATGACCCAGGAGGTCAAATGGCACAAACGGCAGGTCGAATCAACCTCATTAAATAGGGGATCAGAGAATGTTAAACGACGACCTTGTCTCGCCTGTTCGGACATGTCAATCAACTGACAGAGATGCACCCCTTCACAATAATAGACCCAACCAGCTTTGACACGGTCACGCAAAGTATTCACTTGGTCAAGCTGAACAAGATGTAGGTTGTTGCTGTTCTTGTTTCCCACTTGTGCCCTTGTAATCAGCGCATATCAAACACCATGTTCAAACCAATTAGGGACCAACCATTTTCTCTCCCTCCCACAGAAGTTTTATTACCCCAAAACACCTTTTTATTTCATCACCAATAAAATGTCCAGTGCACGTTCCGTTTTGAAAATAAACCCCGAAATCTTATTATTTCTCTTAGAGACATTGCATAGATATGTGATCAAGTATAGTGTAAACAAAATAAGAATAATATACCAATAATGATAACGTAACACAGAAGATAAAACGTGTATAATGAATAGACATTTTCTTCAGCGACAAGACGGAAGTCAAGAAGCGTTTGTGCATAATATGTCCTTCATTGTTTCTTACAAAGTTTCGAGGCTGTTTTTGTGTGTCTATTTTGAGGATTCTGCCAAGAACGGGAAAACAGATCCATAACATTTCATTGTAAATAATGAACAGGTTGTTATCAAAACAATTGTCTTCGCTTTCACTGATCTTTCAACTAACAATTGTAACAAAAACATCAGTGACAATTCCGAAAGCCAATTTTCAGTTTGTCTATTTGACTTTGTAATCAACTCGCTACAAATATCCTGTTCAACAGTCACCACGTTATGGTATTTGCTTACATATATTGTTTATAATCTCTGTCATCTTTATAGGTTTTCTATGTACATGTTAGTTGTTATTATCCACCCACCACCTTTATGTGTCAATACCTTTTACTTTTGCAATGTGACCCATGCCTTCAGCATCTGTTTCACATCCTTGTTTTATAAGCTATTTGCTATTCACCATCGATATGTATCACTGTCATACGTTCCAATGCATCCAAAATGTATGGTATAACATTCACAGTTTTAGTCGTTTCCGTTTATGCAGATTAGAACAATATCTGTTGGGCACTGTTAACAATAGTTTTGGTTATTTGTGTTTCATTTTTATCAACTATTATTATGCATGCATTTCTCAGAATTAAACTCCTTGCATTCTTTAAACACGTGGGTTTTCTGATTTGTTCTGGAATCACGGTTGTATGGACAATGTGTCTATAAGGAATCAATTGTCTACATTACATACACCTGTCTTTGTGGCAGTTAGGTCATGTAGGCAACTTATATAGGTATGATATGTTGGCTTGTTTGACAGTACAGACGGTGATATTGTTTCAGAACAATACATATTTTCGCACTATTCATCTCAGGGTTTTTTCATCTAAGCTACGCTAAACTGAGAACAAATAAGTTGTTTGGCAGACTACAGCTTTATCTGGAGAGGAAGTGAGAGTATGTGTTTGGACGACGTTTAGATCCAATTGCATAGATTCATGCTCACGCTGTGGATCACTCGATGGTTTGGTCACGACTCGATTATTTGTAGACCGACGCCAAATAGCTGGAATATTGCTGAGTGCGGGGTTAAACAACAAACAGGTATAACACAGTTATTTTACCTGTAGGTCATATATCCATGGTTAGGGTGGCCTGTATTTTATTTATTCATGGGTGTATTTGTTTCTCTCATTGTGAAAGATTAGATTCAGTTTGAAGACAGGTGTCACGTGAGAAAGTCAAAAGTGAAATCAGATATTTACACGTAATATATAGTTTATATTGTTTCTATTCCACACCAGTTTGATGCTGTGCCTGACATGTATAAGGAAATGCTAAAATAAAACCTTACTGTCGATTATCAGCCAAAACTGTTTGCGTAAAGGGCAAGATAGCGGTATTTTCAACACTGTACATAACTCTTCTGTTCTGTTAATGAACACTAATAATATAGTTGGTATTTGCAAACTGGGTATGTATATTCACCCTGCGTTTGCATACAGAAAACACCGTGTGTACACAGTGTGGCTGTATGCCATTATTGTCATCTGACTTTATACTATAGCCCTGTGGCTTCTTCAGTGCTGGAATAAAAGCGACTTGACATGTACCAAGTCAGCGAGCCTGACCACCCGATTTCCGTTAGTCACCTGTTACGACAAGCATGGTTGGCTGAAGACTAATTCTAACCCGGATTTTCACGCATACATGTTAGAGGACTGTTCTTAGCCACAGTGCTTGATAGAGTGAGTGAATGAGTTTTGTTTTACGCCGCTCTGAGCAATATTCAAGCTATATGGCGGCAGTCTGGACATAGTCGAGTCTGGACCAGACAATTCAGTGATCGACAGCATGAGCATCAATCTACGCAATTGGGAACCAATGACATGTGTCAACAAGCCAGCGAGCCTTACCACCTGATCCCGTTAGTCGCCTCTTACGACAAGCATGGGTTACTGAAGGTTCATTGTAACAAGGACCTTCAGATAGATTCCCTGTAGTTATATCTTTGTTCAAAAAGGGATATCGAAAACATTGGAAACACATTCATTGCCCCGAAATACCCATCACTGCAGTTTGTAAACACTCAACGCTGACTCAGGAAAGAAATGTTGAAAGCATGACTATATATGTCATTGGCTCACAGGTACCTCTCACCCACTGTCAAAGGTCGTATTTAGCAGTCGGTTTGGAATGGTATTGTCATAGAAACGACATTTGTTTAAAAGTTCTTTGCCTTGTCGTTTGAGTTGAGGATATAATATTTCTTCAACGATACGTATTACAGTGTACATCACACAAATATTCACAAATAGTTTATATAATCATGTTGTAACAAAGAGGTTAACGACAGACTCTCCTTGTATATAGTACGTCCTTGTTTCGATAGATATGGGTATTTTTCACTGTGAGGTTATTGACACATGTCCAGGCTACAGAACGGCCACAAGCAAGTATATTTATGAATTCGCCAGCAGTTACAAACACCCGATGCTTAGGGTAGGATAGAACACAAAGGCTGATAACAGGCATTGGGGACTATTTTAAACATTTAAGCACTTTGAATTAAACCCTTGGTCCAAACTGATGTGTTTTTTATGTAGATGTACATTATACAAAGGTAGAATAAATGTTTTGATTACCTCTGTGGCTAAGTCGTCAGACAACTTTTATACGAGTGCATCACATTTGTATGGGACAAACTGAGGTAAGGGTTCCCAAATCAAAACGACTATTTCCACTTCAAACGAAAACGAAAATAACTCCGTTTCTTAACTTCATTTTTACATGTTTTTGTGATATGCCAGATCCTAAGTCAGTAGAAGGTACTCATCCTAACATCCTCCCAAAGTAACGAGGTCACATTTACAACAGTAGATGTATACACGTGCGAGAAATGATTTAATGGATATAGCACAAAATCAAACAGATTGAGACGTCAACGGTTTCATGTCTTTCATAGACCATCCTATTACAAATGTGATTTGTGTTCAAAAAAGCTTCAAGGGAAATGTCCTATACGTATGCATTTGAAGGTCTATCACGTTTGTGATATATACATAATTAAAAGTGTCAAGCATATGCTGTAATTTGACAAAACATTGAGAAACATGTTCTATGATTTAAAAATATAGTGTAGAGTACCGAATCCTCCCGACACATCTACGTGCTCTAGGTGTTCAAAATATTTCCCCATTGATAATCAACTTACACAACATGCAAGAAAGCAACAATGATAAACAATGAAATAGGACAGACGTGAGTGATACAGTTAAGAAATAACTTTAATAAACGAAAAAGAGTTGGTGAGAATGATTTTACGTCGCTTTTAGCAATATACCAACAAT